AAAACAATTGCAAAATAAATAGTTAAAATATATATTTTTCTAACCGAAATAATTTTTATTCGGTACTCTTATGTCTTCAATGTAAGTATCCACAAAACTCAGTTTGTTCAGTTTGTCAGTTTTACAGTTATGATTTATTGAAAAAAGGCTGACCCTAAATATCAAACAGCTGTAAAATAAACGATTTTCTGATTTTCAAAAATCCTTCGAGATACGTTTATATATCGCTAAAGACTACAACATATCCAAATATGAACAAAATCCGAAATAGGACCGCCGCGGCCAATTCACCTGTTCTTGAAAGTGTTGCGGAGCTATGTGCGAACATTTGCGGTGTAGTAGGAGGAGCCCCGCCCAGTTGTTACAATATATTCTTCCGGAACTCTAGTAGAATATCTTCCAAGAGGGCCGGGAGAACATGTTCTAAATAAACTTTATACGCCGGGCCGTCCAGTGTATCCGGTAGAATGTACAGCCCAACGATAATGTCACCGCAAATTCCCGCCGATACGTTAATCGGCCGACGGAATTGTGCTGCGCCTGGACGAAGCGCTAGCGGATTTTCGTCGCTCCACACATGCATACTGTGTGCACTGAAGCATCCTTCCTCCGTGAAGAGTGCTTCATCCGTCCACAATACGTATTTGCAAAAGGACGGATTCCGAGCTACTTCTCCCAACAGCCACCTTGAATATTGAAGCCGTTAGTGCTAATTGTGCCGCTACTAGTTTATTTGCTATTAAACGCAGTTTCCTACGATGCATGCCGACTTGCTCGTTTGGAGCTTCCTAGTACAAGCGCAGCGCGTAGCCAACGCTACCGCGGGAGCTCCAGCGGCAAACTCGCGCTCTGATTAGTCGGGGTTTTTCGTTAATATCTAGTTAACAAAACCTCGGATAACATTTTCGCTAAGGAAAAACTTATTCCAAATCGCCTCACGAGTGTCCCATTTTCGGGACCTGTACCAGTTTTGTTACACCCTGTATATAAATGTGATAATTACCGAAAATGCTGTACAAACAGAAGTGAAGTAACGTATGAGGACGACATAAATTACAAAATAAATAAAAACAAATATTTATTACAAAAGAAAAATGAAAAATAATTGCTTATTTCATGAATTCTAAGTATCTACAAAACTTACGGGCACTCATGACATTTTATGAAGTTAAGTGAATGCTCGTCGCAAACGGGTTTTTTTACATTCAAAACATGATTTTCTTGTTTTCTTACGCTTTTTTCTTTTGGCTTTCTGACAAATGTGACACGATCCAACAACTGGTGGATCGTTGAGGTCTAAAAGGAGCCCCTGCTGCTGAGCTTGTGAAATTCACGCCTCTATCAAGAACACTTTCGATGATAAGTCTAGTCGAAGAATGCCTCATACATTACTGGTATTATACATTTTGAGCTCTGTCTTCTATTATTTTACGCTAATGTTGCGTTCGCGCGCGTGAGATAAAGAAACTTAACACGAGAACTACTAACGATAAACGCATATCTGTTTCGATCGATCGATAAATATGGTAAACTTTTGAAAATTTACAAATTTATAAATTAACTAATTTCTTCAATATCGTATCGTAATAAAAGTGACAAAAGATCTGAGAAAATTAATTGTTATAACATTTTAATTATCGTTGTAGGAATGTATTGGTAAGTCATTTTGACTTGCTTGGTAGTTCTAGTGTTAAAAACTATGGATTTTCCGCGAAGACATAGGCCGGAGAAAGTTCGAATACCACAGTTCTATGCTCTACAACTGTCTTACATCGAATTTCACACCGCGACAGCACGTTCGAGCTCGAGAAAGTAAGCAAACGACCGTGCGCCTTTATTTCGAGAGTCCTTTCCAGGTACACTGTGAAGTCCTATGTACCTAAAACAGGCCACTTGACACTTTTTAGGGCTGCAACTCTCGAGTATTATCACAGAAAAATGAATCAACACTCCTAAACAGCTTTAAATACATGATATCACCACGCAGGTACAGCTGTACCCAAGTTATTGAACTACGTAGGTAAAATTGATTATTGACATAAGGGATAAAATGAAATTTTAACAAAAGGTTTTTATTCGTATCGGAGCACTAAGCGTCAGAGTGACTGAACAACTGAATAACTCTGTCACCCACAATTATTCTCTTATTTTTCACGGTACAAAAAAATGGTTCCGGAGAAAATTAGTGTATTTTAGGGGGGAAATTAGGCTGAGATTGAAGTTCATCTCAAGGTCATAGCTTCTGAGATTTCTCTAATGGTAACGTTTTTTTTTTTACCATTACAAAGAGGAGATCAAAACGTATCCAACAATGTATCACACTATGACCTTGAAATGATCTTGAGCTGAAAATATCGCAGGCAACTGGTTGAGGTGAAAGCTCACAGAAAATGAATTGCAGAAACAAAATAAATGCCATAATCGCATTATTTATTCTTTTAGTGTATGTTCAAAGTGTTGTCACCCCATAGTGTGATACATCGTTGGATACATTTTGATCTCCACTTTGTAATACCAAACAAAAATATAGGGCATTCGATTTAAAAAAAAAACGTTACTATTAGAGAAATCTCAGAAGATATGACCTTGAGATGACCTCCAATCTCACAGCCTAATTTCCCCCCTAAATAAGAGAATAATTAAGGGTGGCAGAGTTAGGTGGTACACCCTGTATACTAATGCTCTGTGGTAAGGAAAGGATGCCTGTGTTCCTTAGTGTGGGATGAGCAACTAGTAGGTCAGACTTTGGGCAAAGTAGGGGTGACTAACTTGTTTGGAACAGAGCAGCGCGGTCGCAGTTATTCGTAGAGTGACTCAAAGTTGGACTCAAGTCGCGCTAGGGGCACTTCGCCCTCCTTATCCAACTATACCCCATATATACTGTTTTTATGCATTTGGTGCATATTTTGAGTAGTATATTCGTTCCAGGTTGAACACAGATTTAAACTCTTTGATTAACTTCTGAATTTGTATGACCACCAAGTGACTTTTTCGTTGGTACCGTCATTTTTTAAATAATTTTAATTGCGTACGATGCAAAAAATATCTACAGAAAATACACAGACACTAAGCACGCGCAGTATTCTCTGAAACGAATTAATAACCTTAACCCCATGTTGATCACGATTTTTTCAGACGTTCATACAACATTGTAAATATGTCGAATCTGTTCTACGAAATTGAAACAAAGTTTTTCAACCCGAAATGCGATGGTTCTTTTCTAGAAAATGGATACATTCTAATATATCCATGCCAACGTCGTACAGACCGATCAATAACCAACACTGATAGCACTCATAGCAGAAAATTTACGGGCCCCTACCATATTTACATCCAGTACCTACTACGCAGTGCTTCGTATTGCGTTATTTTGATGCTACTAGGTCTTTGGAAAATGACTCCAGGACAGTATTTGATACTATTGTACCGTGTGGGAACAGATTGTTTTCCGTAAACGCATTCACATATGTTTCAATTTCTGGTTAAATTAGGAGTTATGAGCGCACGTCGCAATGTTTCAGAAAGAAAGCAATTGACCCGCGACGCACAAAGAATATTATCTGACAAAAGAATTAATTTTTCCGGACGTTTGAGTTTAACGATGAAAAGAAAAACAATTTAATTTTGCGTATGTTCATATACACTTTTTGAATAGAATTCACGCGACCAGAAAATGTGTACACTGACGTGCTAACTCTGCTTCCGTGAGGGGAAGAAATGGCTTACTGAAAGGGTATAGCCGAATAAGGGGCTCAAATGTGCCCCTAAACCAAACGCAACTTGCGACGGGTCATTCGATAGCTTATCAAAAAAAAATCCATGTGCGCCAAGTGTCAGCTTCGTATGTCGACTGAAGGGGCAGTAATAGACAAAAATTAAAAAATCACGTTGTTGTCCAATTTCTGCTATCCTATCGTATGAAAATTTTTGAAAAAAAATCAGAGAAATTTTAGGTGTCATGTCACATATTATGTAATTTCTTCAGATATTGAAATTAAAAATTCAAGGCGCGAAAAATAAAACACGCCAAAAAATAGTGAAAAATGCCGATTTCATATCGAAGCAGATGCAGAACTACTATGAGATTTTAACAGTAAGTAGATATTGTTATTACTATTATCCTGGAATAATGTCAAACTTTTCCATTTGGTGCGCCATAGTTAAAAAAATTAGAAACCAAGTTTTCCGAAGTTTTTTCTGTGCAAAAGTATCTCATACTTTGAATTTTTAGAATTTTCTTTATTATTTGACTTTATTATACAATCGTAAATATTTCTAGATTCAGTAAACCACATAGCAATTACAGAAAATAAATAAACCTAATCAATTTAAACTATGTCGTGCGCGTTATATTCTAAATTATTAATCATTTTCTCAAATGCGTCGGTAGCGTGACACTCCTCAAAATCATTTTTCTAGGCTAATTAAATTTTGTTTAATTCCTAACCATATGACAATGATTAATATTTATTTACAAATGCTTTAAGAATATTTAAAAAATATTTTAACCTGAAATATACGTGTATAAATGATTCTGGTGCATATTTTATGTCATCGTTCCCCTTGTCAAGTATTCTGTCAATTACGGTATGGTTCGACATTTCTTACGTCAAGTAATATATTGAACTGGTTTTCGAATCTTTTACCTTTACGATCTGTGATTTTTTTTAACAAGCTATCGCATGACCCGTCGCAAGTTGCATTTGGTTTAGAGGCATATGTGACCCCCTTATTCGGCTATAGCCTTTGTCCCAAATTAACATTCGATTTAACATTTATTTCAGTACTCGAAATAAATTTATCAAATACTAGGAGGCCCTTCACCTACACCTCTTTTTCCCCTAGTGGAAGCTGAGTTTTCTCGTCTGTGTACCTATGAAGTTTACGAAATTATCTGACTGGTAATAAGAACTTTTATGCACTGTTCTATTTGTCATCTAGTACACGAATAACAATTTTCCTTATTTTTATTAAACACATTATTGGTATGGAGTACATACCCTGCCAACGAAAAATCGTCTGTAACACTTGGCTGTATCGTCTTGGTCTATCCTAGGTTGCCAGGCAGGCTGCGCCGGTAGTAACGCCCTGCCAACTGAGTCCAGAGCGTGCAGATGATCGGTACCGTCGATCCAGTATCCTGGCGGTGTCACCACCAAAGGTGGCTGAGATCCGGAAGTGGCCTGCCGCAGCGCAGTCTCCATGAGTGCTCTGCCAACAGGTGCATCTCCCACCGCTGACGGGGACGGTAGGGGTGTGTGGCTGTTCTGACTTTCAGGAGTCGATGCTGGTCTTTCCTCCCTTGAGGTCTGTAATCGTGACAAGCCAATCCTTATATTGTTGCACTCACCAACGCTTTACGATTCCAAGTGACTTATTTGGAATTTAGAATATTCAATAGGATCCGTTAACATGAAGTCCATATTTCGATTATTAATTTAATACGCTTTAACATTTCATTTTCTGCTCAGATTCGTTCTAAATTAGAACAGGTATTGTAAGAATGAGGAGGAATAAGTATTATTCTTAATCTTGAATGAAATTAATGAAAATTTTGTATAAAAATAAGACTTTCAAGAAGAAGAATTGAAGAAGCGTATTAAAAAATAAAAACTAGAAGAGAGAAACAAAATTTGCTGCCAAGAAAGTTGCAAAAATTGTTAAAAAATCAAAAACACAAATAGGAATAATTTTCACTTTATTTTTATTTAACTTTTTCAATTTTGTTTAATTTTAATTTTGTTTTATTTAAAATATATACTTTCTATAAAACGTTTATAATAAACCAAAGTTAATTCCACTATGTGTGTTTTTAATGCACTATATCCTAAATGTATACAGATAAATGTTTAAAAGATAAATTTTTACAAATATATAACATATACATAAGAATAGAATGCAATTTTCCCTTAGTGTTATTTATTTATGAATTTATAATGTATATAATGTATACATTTATATATTTAGTTCATAATTTTTATTATTTTATTTAATTATAATTTTGTTTCATTTATTTATTGCATTAAATGAAATTTGTTACATTTTTATTTGAATTTTTACAACATAAAAGAAAAGTGTCATTATGTTCAAACAGTGGGACAGCTAAATTTAATCACTAGACATGCCGTGAATTCCGTCCAATCCCTCGGCCAAATGAACGCTTTTAGATATTCTTAAACTTTAATACTTTTTTCACGTGAACGCTTTCTTATAACGACTTGTCTGGGAGAAGATGTTCCGCTCTACCGATGGAATGTATTTTTTTGTCAATCTATAATATTTTAATATATAAAAAGTCTTCGTAACCGCAATTTTCGACTTAAACGTTCAACCACTGGGACATTTGCCTTACATTTACGCGTAGAAGGGGTGTGCAGACGCCACGCCGTGAACTGCGTATGTGTGTAAGACTGAGATAGCTTCCCCTTAGATGTACTCTCTCTCGGACCGGCCCGTAACTAACAGTTCACACTCCAGTTAATATAGAGCTCAATAGTTCCCGACAATACACAGGGTGTAACAAAAATGTTAGAAGACCCAGAAATGGGAAACTCATGAGGTGAATTGAAACAAGTTTTTCCTTAGCAAAAATATTATCTAAGGTTTCGTTAACGAGATATTAACGAAAAACCCCGATCCATCAGAACTAGAGTCGGCCAGCCGAGTTCCTGCGGTAACGTTGGCTACGCGCTGCGATTGGTCGGGATTTTTCGTTAATATCTCGTTAACAAATCCTCGGATAATATTTTTGCTAAAGAAACACTTATTTCAAATCACCTCACGAGTCTCCTATTTCCGGGTTCTTCGACATTTTTGTTGGAATTATTAAATTTGGAAAATGTATCTACATTTTGTGATATCCATCCATGAGTTTGAAACGCTAACGTAGTATCTGCTTATTCAGTAATATACGCATGCAGAACGCACAAAAATAGAGAATACGTGCAAGTAACAAAAATTGTTGTCTTAAATATTATTGTATATATTCTTGCGATGTTGGAATGTCCGATATGACGCACGTACGCAATTCTCGGAAATCCACCTCTCCGGATATATGGCCAGGCAGCGTCCTGGCCGGTGGCCATGTACGTGGACATCACTATACATACTATATTTATACGAGGGAACAAAATTCCTCCGGCAAAATCCAGAGACATCTGACCAGCGAGTGATCTAAACATAGTGAAACTGGAGTCGCGAAGGAGCTTCAGGCGCTACTCGAGTTTTTCATTCACGGTTATCTTCCTGACAGCTAGCATTACCATCTTCCCCAAAGCTTTGCCCTTCGAGTCTATATTTGGCAGCGGAGGATAGGGGACGAAGCGAGGGATACAAGGCGACTAGTCGGAAGATCGTCGTTCTTTTATTTTCTTTCCATTTCAACGAGGGCACAATTTTTTTTCCTGTTCCCGATTGTACACAAATTTAGAGACTTAAATTAGTAGACAAAGGACACGAAGGGAAAGACGAAGTTCCTCCGGAACGGATGACACAGAGGGGAAGTCATCGAGAACAGCAGGAAGTTTGAGCCCAGACGTCGACCAGAAAACTTTGAAACGTAATCCGAGAGACTACATCCGCATTGCTTCTAACTTTACAGTGTTTTTCTTTGTCCTATCGTTTTGTTTTCATCCCTACGAAACTAATCAAATTTTTATTTACTTCTTTCTTTCCATTTAATGTCTTTCTTTTTCAATAACCCGCCCTTTGACCATTCTTGCTCTCCTATTAAAATCCCATTCATTCTTAGGATCCGTGTAGACGGAACGGGAAAGTTATTTGTTGGCGTGCCTGCACGCGCAAGCCTACAACGCATTATAATTAGTAATGAAGTTTTATATACAGGGTGTTAATAAAAGTGTGGACCACCTTTCACTACCTAAAATATGATACATCATACTATTAATCTGGAATATGTATATAATACAATATATTTACTCACCAATCCGATGTTTCACACTTTTCTAACTACCCTCCATATAGATAGGTATACTACCACTCCAAATTACTCGAATGATGTGACTTTTCGAGTTTATGACAATTTTAAGACTTAGATAAATAATTTAGGGCACTTAGCCGATAGTATACATGTATTATTTAGCTGCTGGTGATAGTGTATAATAAGACAAGAATTTAAAAAATGAACGTTAAAAAGGAAAGATCACAGACACGGATATACGTTTTTCAAAGTTTTTCAGACTCGATTCAGGTGTCAAAGGATAAGCTGAATAAGGGGATCAAAAGTGCCCTTTGACCGATTTGGACATTTATATACCATTCGATAGCTTACTGAGAAAAAACAATGTGTACAAATCTTCAACTCTCTAGCTCGACCAGGAGGGTAGTAATAACGAAAATTGGGATAATGCGATTTTTTCCTCTCTTTCCTCGATTCATCTAATAGTATTTACCGGAGCATGTCCAAAAAAATGCTGAAAATTTTTTTGTTTTCATTGAAATCTTAAAGCGAATACATTTACACAATTACAGTAACAATGTATCATTGCAAGTATTGTTCTCAATTTTTTGGATATTTTTTGGTAGGGTGCGCCGTAGTTTTAAAAATTAAAAACCGATATTTTGGAAGTTTTTTCCGTTAAAAAGTAACTTCTACCTTGAATTTTTGTACTTTCTTTATTGAATAAGTATGTCCATAAAGAGGACAAATAGGGCTATATCCTCATTATTTTTCAAATTTTTAAATAGTTCCCCGGTATGAAAACAGGGCATTTCAACATATCCAAATATGAACAAAATCCTAAATGGTACTCCAAATAGTGTCCAATTTCGCGTGTAATGCCCCTATGAAAAAAATCAAAAAGACGATTTCGGTTGTGGAATTGTCAAAATATTTCGCGGATGAAAGTATTGGATTTCCTCTTATGGGTAAAAAGCAAAATAAAAAAAACGCAGGAAAAAAGAAGATGAAGAAGGAAAGCCAAGGGGGAAAAGAGGTCCCTTTTCCCCCAAGGTACCCTTTCTTATCCGTTGCGACGAAAAAGAAGAAAGAAACAGGGGAGACGTTGCCTCCCGTGGGGATGAATAATTCAGTACGAGCGCGCATAGCTGGACGCGCCCATGTATACATGCCATACATACATAAAGCAGAGGTGCGCCAGGAATGAAACTGTTGCCATGAACCGCGGTCATTGTTGCTAACGACACGTCAATCTATGCTCAACGCACCATAGGAACCCGCCAACTTAAAATATGGATCAACGACATCGATTTCGGCACAAAAGGTCATCTGTTGCCAGAAACTTTTAAAAACTCGGTAGCATCAAATTGACTTTTTGGAAACGGCCAATGGAGTATAAGGTCTACTATATGGACCTGGAAAAGATGACTTTGTCTATGTTAAAAAACTGTTTCATATGTAAATTGAATTTGGAATGTTTAAACGCGCTTTTTCAAAACATTTTCAAAATCACACGATTGATTGAAAACCATTGAACCAACCCACTCCAATTGTTGCTGCTACATTCGTTGACCAGCAAAACCTTTAATTCAGATAAAGGTGTGAAAAACCACTTAATTCAGGGGTTTTCCAATAAGGTCAAACCAGCAGTGGGGAGAGAGCGCAAGCAAGGCAGCGCCCGGGAAATGGCGAAGAACCACACGCGGTTTCCCGCGGGTGATACTGACCGCCGATACCGATAAGAGCCAGGGCACGTGGTGATTCAAGGTCGACTTGTGTTTCAGAAATTAACATTATACCGTACTTACAGGCGCAAGCCAGTAAAAGAACTTGTTTTTCTGGCTTTTGTTCCGAATCTACCGTCGTTACCTCCACCTACCACTCCACCGGGTTCGAACACCCTTTCAGTTTATAGCTCATCACCCAGGCTCAGACTTCTAGGCTTCTATAAGCCGTCACTCTATCGGGTCCGAGCATCCATTCGGTTCATAGCCCGTCCCGCAAGCTCACAAGGAGAGGACTGCAAATGTATATCTCAGATTTGGTTCAAACTATTCTCACTTAAAATATAGACTATGCACAAACAAACCCTAAAAAAATAATACATGTGAAAAAAAGAAACCAACAAGGGTAGAAGGTGGGAGTCGAACTGCCGACCTTCAGATTGCGAGATATTCGCTTTAACCGACTCAGCTACGTCGCTCTTCACTTGAGTATTTCAAAATATGTCTCATTTTGCCCCATTTAAAATGTTTATTGTTAATTTTCTGAACAACGAAGACCTATGTGGCGGAACCCCATTAGGGTTTGTTTATGTCAAATCTTCGATATGTATTTATTAAATTTTCATTATAGCCCCAGAATAAAAAGTTGTAAAAAACGACCTATACT